ACTCGATTTAATCAGATTGAGGAGGTTCTTTTTCAGATCACATTTGTGTGTTAGTCAAATTATTCGCTTAGAGAGAAAAAATATGTCATAGATTAGTTTATAATTGAAGCAAATTGAGTATATAATTAATAACTCTCTCTCGCTAACTATTACGAATTAGTCGGAGAATTTAAAATTTGGCGATAAATTTTTCCTCACAATTTATAACCAGAACACCCAATTCAACTAAAACGTTTTTTCAGCATGCTAAATAAAATACTATCTTCACAACCCCACAAATAGGCAAACTTGTTCTATTTAGAAATGNTTAAGCATGGCTTCAAAATAAAATACAGTTTCACCAAAAAATAAATATAAAGAGATTTAACATTTTAACTTACTAGAACGTTAAATCAATGAGAACCCTGAGCTTGTTTCTTTGCAATGAGACGGTTCCATCTGGGGGTAATCGAAGACAATGATATATTACAAACATTAAAAAAATTGATGCCGCTACCTTCGGGAACCCCTTTTATTTAAATCAATAAAATTTTATTGCAACACTGATATTTTTAATTTGGGGTATAAACCTAGGAATTTAAATTTAGTTTCAATGAAATGGGCGGCCCGGTACCATTTGATACGCGGACCGGGGGTTGGGGAACACTGCTCTAAGATATCATTCTCCGAAATCTTTTCCCTATTGATATCCATATTTTTTTCTATGTAAAATAAAGAATTAATTAATTTAAATAAATGATATATATATGCCACATCTCACTAGAGGACTAGTCCTTCGTCTCGAAAAACTGATCTCAAGGTTTTATTCGATTCTTGACCATAATCCACGGGTCCAGTATGGTTGGGGAGCATAGGTATGTTTAATTATTTTTTTCATATTTGTGTCCCTTACTTTAAATAATGTTAAACTGTATAAACTGTTAATTTTAATTTAATTAAAAAAACTCGATTTAATCAGATTGAGGTGGTTCTTTTTCAGATCACATTTGTATTTTTGTCTAATTATTCGTTTAGAGAGAAAAATCGGGTAATAGATTAGTTTATAATTGATGCAAATTTAGTATATAATTGATAACTCTCCCTCACTAACTATTACGAATTAGTCGGTGAATTTAAAATTTGACGATAAATTTTTCCTCGCAATTTGTAACTAGAACACTCAATTCTACTGGAATGTCTTTTTAGCATATTTTCATTACGAAATAAAATACTATCTTCACGGCCCCACTAATGCGCAAAATTGTTCTATTTTAACTATCGTTTCATGCCACATTTCATTTACCATCTACTTACAGATACCAATAACCTCTTGGTTTTTGTTTAAAATTTGATTTGGAAATGTCCCCTTACGATTGGTGAGTTCTTTTCCATACGAAGTCCGGTTCGGCATGATGGTGATTTGGAAAGGTCAACTTGTAATGAGGGATTGAAGTTGAGGAAAAAATTGCAGTTATTAAACTTTTTTTTCTGTCGGTTTATTAAAGCTGCCTTCTGAAATCCTCATCAATTAGATGGGCTTTCGGAATCGTTAATGCAGATAAACCTTTTTTCCAGCTTCGGTAGTTTTTGATTGCGGTCATAATAAAACGTCGAAAGAAATCTTTTTTCAACGTTTTATGATACGGGATTTGAATCGCTTACCGGTCTGATGTCATTCCTTTGGCATGTTTCTTGGAAGATAATGTAGCTTTCTCTTTTTTTTTTAATAATTCATTTTTCCATTGTTTTCAAGCTTCTAGTGATTGGTGGTTGCCTGGTTTAGGGTCTTATATTCTTTTTAATGTACTCGTAATAAAAAGCCTGGAAAATAATAATTTTTAATTTCGTATAATTACTTTATTCAGTTGGTTCTTTTACATAGAATTATTTTCTGTAAGCTGAAAGTTTTTCTTCTTCTTAGATTTTTGGTTTGTTGATTTGTTTGGTTTAAAAATGTTTTATTAACTTGGGGTTGTAAATGAAGGTGGAATTCTCATTTCGTTTGCTTTATTTAATTTATTCATGATCTATCTCCTTGAAAGTATTATTTTTTAACTTTTTTTTGGTGATTAATATTTTCTTTCATTTATAATGTAGTAAAAAAATTAATTTGCTTGTTTAAGGTCGGTACCAAATTTATATTTATATTAAGTATTAAGGCATAACGTGCAGCTTTCCTTGTTTTCCAGACAAAAATTATAGGGAAAAACTTATATAACTAGCACTCATAACATGCTGTAATTTAACCCTTTTTAAAAAAGGATAGTATGTAAAACTTCACTTAAATTTTTTATTTGAGAAACATAATACATATATTTGGTCAATACAATGTTATTTTTTGTACTTTTTTTTTAAAATTTTTAAAAATTTTTTACAATTTTTTAAAATTAAAAATTTTTTTTTTTATTTAAATACTAAGGAATAATGACAAATGAAGTTATTATCAATTATTATAAAAACTGGTTTTATTGCGACCCTAAAACTGCAATTTTTAAAAAAATATATTTTTTAAGATTGTAATTTTATCTTAACCACAAACAGTCCAAGCAAAATATGTTTCCTTATTTATTAACAATTTCCATTTTATCGAAAATCTTCTTTAGGAGGCCTCTACCTCGCCATCTTAGATTTTATGTTAATTATTAATAGATTTTTTTTTGTGCTTAACAAACTTTTTATAGTATATTATTCGACAGTACTAGCGCGCTTGATAATTTTTAGAAATTCTATATGGAATTTTCCAACAAACTTAAGAGCAACAGAAATAAATATGCTTCAGTTTTGAGTCAGTAATTGTCTACACATTTGTCATCTTTTAGATTTTTTAAAATTTAGTTATACTGTATTACGGTCTGCTTTTAGATTTTTGATAAAAACTAAGATAAACCTCAAAAATATAAGAATAGACTATAATAGACTATAAAAATCTAAGAATATTTAACTACCTATTGAAAACCGCTGATTGCAGAACTGTATTGTTAAAATTATGTCAGAGAAAATTAAGTGAGAATCTGAAATTACCACGCGTTTTGTATCTAATTTTGATTGGAGACACAACCTTCTATTTTACGTGCATAGATAGATATTGTTAAACTGAGTAATTTTCCACTATTAGTCCATTTGTGAAAGTTAACTAAAAACAATTAAAATCATACTTGGAATTTTTCCTCCAAAACTTCGCCCCTTTGACAAGTCGAGTTTCTTCGAGAGGGGAAATGTCTTTTTAACCCATGAATAATTTTTAACAAAAAGAAATACAAAAGAAAAATCAAAACCAATTAAAGAAACATATCTTAACGAATGAGAAAACAAATCGCCATTTTATGCTTATAAAATCACGTACAAAATAAAATAATCTTTATGAAACCTTTTACTAATGTGCACAAGGAAAAACTTAAAAATCGTATTATAAACATCCTGTGGCCCACTTTTCTTGAATTCCTGAATCGACATTGTATTTTTAATTTAAGTATTGTAGCCAGTTACGAAAATGACAACAATGACTGCGGACTTGAAATCTCAGAAGAAATGTACAATTAACTAATGAGATATAAAAGCAATGGCGACGCCCTTCTTTCTGGGAGACGCATAACCTTCCGTGCTATATCCTGAACAATACCTTTTGCTTGATTGATATCTTATTTATTATTATCGCTTTATGTCTTATTACGTTTTGAGGTCGTAAATAAAATGTTAGTGTAATTATTATTTTGAAGGCTATATTTTTTGTGATAAGTTAATTAGATATTTAACTTTATTAACCAAACGTAACGTGCGTAGTTTAAGTTATCGATATTTTTTCTTCTTCTTTTGTAGGACAAAGCATATTATTAAGATATAATTCAATAATTTCTCTACTCAAATCATATTCTGCAGCGACTGTTTAAAGTTTAGGAAAATTCATTCTGCATTGAATAATATGCTAATTGTTCTTTGAGTTTTGAATTTAAGTTCTAACTAATAAAGTAATTATTTATTACAAATGTGTTTTAAAGTGACATAAAGACCACGTGTGATTTTATTTATTCTAAAATTAAGAAGAAAAAAATTCTTGTATTCATGGGATTTAATGCTCTCAAAATAATGTATTTTTTATTTTAAAAATTATTTTTAAATATTGTAAGTTTAAGGTACATTAAGAGAAAGTTAAAGTAATGAATTATTTTACAACAATTAATAATTATCTCTATACTAACCCCCTCTTGAACAGGTGAATCATGAATTTCCCCATATTTTACACTTACGAAAACTGTTTTTACTGTTAGTAAAAAATTAATTCTTTTAAATTTTAAAGGAATCACATACCTAAGAATTGCAAGGTTAAATTATTAAAAAAAAAATAGTTAAGTAATGTCCTATATCATATATAATATGCATAGTATATTAAAAAAACTGAAAACAATCTAGTTTCTTAAAAAAAATGAATAAATAAATAAAATAACGTTTCCTTTCCTACCAAAAAATAGTTTCTTTTTCACTAAGCCTATGGTTTTTCTTAACATAACTTTAACATTTAAATTGTAAGAGGAAAGGCCAATGAAATAAAAAGTTTTTTTTATTTAAAAGAGGTTAACAGGATAAAATTTTGGCCTAACCTTGTATTTCAAAAAATTGTAACATTCTGTGAAACTTATCCAAAGATTTTGCAGTTTAGAAAATCCATTTTTTTATAATGGTTCAGTGCTCGGTTTCCAATAAAAATTTGAAAGAGCAAAAAATTACATCATGTTTCTGAAATAAAGAGCTAACATAGTATCAGCAAAATTTTGTCTGAGATTTTACCCGATTCCTATATCATACAATGGTACATTGTAAGAATACTCAATGTTAACTCAATCTGCAATGCATTGTGCAAATCAAGACTAGTCTTGTCTATCATGTATTAACAAGATTGTATATTTGATAGTTTCAAATACAAATCTTGATTTAAGATTTAATTTATTTTTTAATACATTTTTTGAAAATGTATGTAGTTTATCAAATGCCATTTCAACTATTAATTTTCTTGTTTTTAATTCTAGAACGATGTCTTGAAACAAATGTCAAAATTCTAAAGGAATCTCTTGGAGATGAATAGTAAAGAAGAATCAATTTGTTCCTTAATGCCGTCCAATAGGAGGCAAGCCTGGTGTATACTGTTGAGGTTTTAACTATCTCAGAATGAGGCAGTACACTAGGCTTGCTGTAGTGCTGTTTATTGCACTCATTGGAATGAGTGCTGCAGCACTGCATCAAAAAGATGCATATGTGATGAAAGGAAAAAGTAAGTTCAGCAATTTTTGAAGGCTATTTTTTGAAGCTTTGTTTTCAAGGAAAATATACTAGCCATAGTTTAAGTGCCTTACATGTGAAGCAATACAATGATTTTAAACTATAAATGTAATTTTTGCTGGGAAAAATTTTCTGGGCTTTAGAACAGACAAATAACTTAAATATTTTAAAAAGTAAAAAAAAATTTTTTTTTAAATGGCTAATTTGGCTAATAGTAAGGACAAAATGATTTGGATTTCAGTTCTAGGTGAGAAATCTTACTGCAAAAATTGTGAAAAAAGTGGGACTGCTTGTGTCATCTCTTAGCAATATTCAGAAATACAAAATTAATCTCGGGGTATAAAGAGACATGTAAGATACAACGATTTCAATTTCAATGATGCAATTTTTCTCACTCCGACCATACGGATGCTAATTGTACGTTGAATTTATGAGATGCAACACTGACAGAGTAAGCATTGATCTTAATGTAGTAATGCTCTTTAATTTAAGCTAAACTTTGTTTTAATAGGAATTTCGGATATGCATGCTTCCCGTATCAGTCACTCATTTAATCTATGTTATTTTGTATTAAAAAATTAAATGGCTATTATATTTATTAAACTATAAGCCATGTAAGAAAAATTTAGTGATTTAGACAGAGCTCTAAGAAGATTAAATAAATAGATAATAATTGTAAAATTGGGTTATTTTTAATTCTTCCATGTTCTGTGCATAGAATCTTTCATATCTGTACTAAAAATTATCAGGAGCAAATTATTATTAAAAGGGAAATGTAAATTATGGTTAGGCGTTTTTAAAATTAATAAATCACTCTAACAGACAATTTTATATTTTTTTATATTTTTAATATTTTGTTTGTATTAATTGTACTGTTTTAATTTTTTTGTAGTTTGCATTGGCACATCTGGTCGTATGTCTGTGCCAGCTAATCGTGATCATCATTATCAAAATCTTAGAGATAGATATATTAACTGTACATATGTAGATGGAAACTTAGAAATCACGTGGTTACAAGTAAGTATATGTTAGAGTTCAGTTATTTTATTGTGTTAAGCTGTAGACTTTGACTAAATCTATTTTATGAAATCATCATATGTTATTATTTCAAATTATTATAATTTCTTATATTTCAGTTTTAAAATATTTAATATTTGACATAAATTTTATGGCTAAAAAATAGTTATTAACTTAAAATATCTAGTTAGTATGTATGTGTATAAAAAAAATTCAACCTAAAATAAAATACCGAACCAAACTTACACTAAGCTTATTTCTATAAAATATAATCTTATGTAAAAACTAAAATTTGTTACTGCAAATTTAATGTATTTTTTGAAGTTTGGAAATTCAAATATCTCTTAAGCATTTAACTTCATTTTTTATACGTATAATTAAAGGCTAGTTTTAAAAATGTATTTATATAATTGTAATGCGTATTGCATATTTTATAACTGTGAAAATTATGCCTTTCTGTATTAGCTATACAATGTACTCAACTTTCCATTGCACCCTTTTTTGTAAAAAGTTCTTTAAATTAAATAGGTTATTTAAACAAATGAAAAATAAAAACTGTGCCTTGTTGGGGGTCATTTTGTTAAGTTATACATCTAATATCTATATCTATGTTTGTTAAAAATGTTTCTTAACAAAAATATTTATTTTATTGTGTAGGATGACACATTAGATTTAAGTTTCCTGAAAGAAATAAGAGAAGTGACCGGTTATGTTCTCATTTCTCATGTAAATATTCGTCGTGTTGTGCTTCCTAATCTAATGATCATTCGTGGTCGAAATCTTTTCCAACTCAATGCTGGAGCTGAAGAATTTGCCTTCCTAGTAGCAAGAAATACTATTGAAATACTTGAGCTTCCTGCTTTGCGTGGTAAGAATTATATATATAAATATACATATTTGTATTTTTGTTGTTGTAAATTATAGCAAGTAAAGCTATTCTTGCATGTTAAAATACTTTTGAATGTTATAAAAAAAGTATTATTTATTACGTGATATAAAATGAGTGAAATTTTTTATCTGTGCTTAATCTTTTTTTAAAACGCTTTATGCTAGCTTTAAATGTTACCGTTAAAAATGACTAGGGGGTTATATTAAATTACAATTTTTATTAAATATCAGCTGACTTTTCGTGTACTAGGTTTTTTAAGTAGTTTTTATGATGTATTATCTGGAAGAAACTGACTATGAATGTAGATGCTAAAGAGTTAAGAAGTATAAATAAAATAACGTTAGTTGTTTGTTGTTTAAACAAGGAATAAACATGTGAATCAATAATTTGAATGTTTGATTGCAACCTGATTGAAAACAATTCTTGTTAGTTAACAAATTAAAAGATTGCAAGTGATTTTTAAAAAAGAATCAGAGAGCATTAATTGTAAGATAAACAAGCGCTGTTTTAAATTGACGGCAAAAACAGTTTTAAAGTTAGGTTACAAAATGTAATAAATTTTTAAAACGTTTTTAATAAAAAAATTTGTTTTTAACTTATAAAAAAAATCTTTTTATCATCAAAATATCCACGTATATTATTGATTGAAAATATTTTATAAACTTTTTCCTAAAAATTTGTTAAAAGGAAATTTCATTTAAAATTATTTCACAAAAATTTTTATTTTTGATTTCTGTTTTCAATGGTCCAAAATAAGTGTATGTTAATCCATTGATTCAACAGTGTTAACACTGTATATTCAATAAATTGAATATTTATTTAAAAATGTAATGTTTGATTTTGTACTTTGTATATGGGCTGAGCATAATAAAAAAGGGCTCCTAATTTATTGATATGAACCATTGTGCAAATAATAAATATTCCAGATAGTTTCTTAATTTTTTTAAAAAAATTGTAATTGATTAACTTTTAGTTTTCTTTTTGTTGTTACATTCATATTAAACAAATACTAAACTTAGTACAAAATTCTGTTAAAATCTTTTTTTTTTGTTACTCTTATTATTTGTTTTGAATTTGAGTTATAATTTTGTAATTTTTATTCGCCAATGTAAGCATTCAATTGTTGACTTAAACTTTTAATTGTATTAAATGTTTATTTTGTATGTAACTTTCATTATATTGGTCATATTTTTTTAAAATATTATATATCTTTATAGATATATTGTCTGGTGGAGTTGGCTTCTTTGACAATGATAATTTGTGTTATATTAACACAATCAATTGGGAAGAAATATTAGCTGGATATCTAATTAAGCCGTTGTATCTTCACAACTCAACTTTACCACAAAAAAGATGTAAGTTATTTCAGATTCTAATGAAATCAATCATGATTTTTTATTCTTAGTTAATTTTGATTTTTAATTTACACACTCTTTAATGATTGTCACATAATTTCTTTTCTTCTACAGGGTGCATAGCGTTTTTAAAAAGTGCTTTAAGGTGCTTATTTGTGATTTTCGTTTGTTTTTTTAAAAGCCCTTAAAGGTGCTTTTTTCATTGTGTGTTTTTAAAAAGTGCTTCATTTTCCCCTTTTCAAGATGAGATTTTTCCTTTGCCATGTTGAATTATGCAAAAAGACAGTTCACATTGTTCTATACAACGTTTTCACAATTAATTCAACCCCAATCTATTTCGGCTTATTGTCAGTCCGTAACGTCTGAAAACACCAATCGTTTTACATGATTCAAAATGTCATGATTTTTGACAATTGTCAAAAACAATGCCAAAAAATCTTAAAAGCAAGATAAAACCCTCGATTGTCAAAAACATTCCAACGCTGCATAATTATGATATTTTTTAAAAGTTCTTAAATATATTTTTTGAGTGCCTGAAAAGTGCTTCAAGGTGCTTATTTTTTGTTGAATAATTTGGCTACACACCCTGTTCTAAATGCTGAAAAATACATTTATTTATTTTAACTCAAAAAAAAGGAATTTAACTCCTAAACCGGTTTTAATGCTATTTGCTTTTTTATTTCTCTTTGCTAACATGCTGGCAATCTTTACTATTTACCAGCATGCATGCAGAAAATAAAATGATTAGCCAAAAACAAGCTCCATCGACTTTTCATTCCAGCAATAGCCCTACTTATGCATTTTCTATCCAGTTTAATTATTGGATTTTTGTTAATTTTTTATGAAATTGATTTTAGGTCCACCTTGCCATAAAAGTTGTTCAGCTGGTTGTTGGGGTCCAGGCGAATTAAGCTGTCAAAAATTTTCCAAAATCAACTGTTCTCCACAATGTCATCAAGGAAGATGTTTTGGACCTAATCCTAGAGAATGCTGTCATTTGTTTTGTGCTGGAGGTTGCTCTGGTCCAACACAGAGCGATTGCTTAGTAAGTGCTATGTGAATTCAGAAAAGGGCAAAAGACTTGTTTTATGTTTATATAAGTTTTTAAAAGATTTTATTTAAATTTTTCCTCTTTGCATTTATTTTTAGAATTTCATAGTTCATTTCTCTTAGTGGTCTCATGAACATGTATGTAACTTAAAGCCAATTTGACTCTGAATGTAATAATTTCACTCATTCTAACTGAATTAATAAAAAATTTAAATGTCAGTCAAACGTATATCGTAGATGTTGTTGTATAAGTCGTAAACTTTTCAAACTTCCAAAATTTGACGAAAATCAAAGGGTCGACTTATGCAGTGGTAACAAAGTAAAAATCTGTTAAAATATCGATGCATTGTAAACAATGAGATAGATATGAATAACTCTTTATCAATTTTTCCCGTGTCAATATTTACACTAAATTTTGCCTTTTTTCTTATCATATTTTCTTTAAACAAGGATTTTTTTTTATAAATAATACTTTAAATTATGTTCAGAAAAAGAATAATTAAGAATAAGAATTGTTTTAAATAATTTATTCAAAAAATTTAACATAATGAAAACTTTTAGAAGTAACCATAAAACTACTAATTTTAAAATTCCAGAACATCATTTGTTTAGGATTCAGTAACATTAGAATAGTCGTCATACAAAACCCACTCTGCGATAAATTCTACTTCATACTCATCTGCTGAGTCCCACAAAATACAATCATCACTCCCATCTAAAAAATTCAAAATTCAACACTTTTTAAAAGATTTTACAATAACATTATTGGACGGCAAATGTATCATAGCCAGAGAGAATAATGTGAAATATTTTTAACTTGAGAAAATTTTGTAGACTTAATAAGTTTTTTTTTGGGGGGGGGGGGNTTTTTAAGGGGGGGGGGAGTTAAGAATTTTGTATTTTGGTTTCTCAGGGGGCAAACTATGCAACTGGTATTCCCAAAATTGCAAATGCGTAATCAAAAATAGTTGGTACATGTGGTATTGATTCTTAAATATGCTTAAGTATAAGTGTTATGACTTTGTATCACAGTCCTAGCTGAAGAAAGAGGAGAAAATAAAATAACATATTTAAAAAAAAGATATTAATTTGAGAATTATGATGACCTTGTATCACAGTCCCAGCTCAAGAAAGACGAGAATAAAAAATAACATATTTCAAAAAAGATATTAATTTGGGAATTATGAAAATTATTTAAAATATAAACAAAGAAAATCAAAAGAATAATTACAATATTAATCAGAATTAGTTAAGTTTAAACAATCAATATACTTAGCTTTGCATAAATCATTAACTTATTTTTTAATTAATTTTTTTACTTTTCTTTTAAAAGGCTTGTAAGAACTTTGATGACAATGGAGTTTGTAAACAAGAATGTCCACCAATGAGACGTTACAATCCAACCACATATTCTTGGGAAAGTAATCCTGAAGGAAAATATGCTTATGGTGCAACATGTGTTAAAAATTGTCCAGGTATATTAATTATAATTATTTTAACCAAATTTTTTTTGTTCATATTAGAAGCAGCAATTCTTTTTGAAAATAGTAATATAATTAAATATAATGTGTTTTGATGTGAAAGTTATTGAAATTGTTTATTTAGAACATATTGTTTCATTTGAATTGTTTAAGTATAATCATGTTATTAATGAAGTAAAGGTTTTATTATTATAGAATTTTATTTGAATTATTAAAAAAAGTCTTTTAACTTCTATTTTGATATCATACCAGTGTACGAAGCTTAATTCGTTTGTACATTTACTGTAAGTAGTACATTTCCAGAATCAAATGTATCAAAATTTGTCAATCCAGTGATATTACTTTTCAATTTGCATTCTGTTCTCGTTTTTTGTTGTTTACTTTTGTAATATGTTAATTTTGTAATATGTAAGGGGAAATATTGCAACACCAGACTTGCTTATTTACATATTTTTTTTCATTAATATATTTACACAAAATTTTTTTGTTATATATTTTTTTTTCAATGAAAACCATATTACAGATCATTCATTTTCTGTTCATGCATGTACTAAAAACTAAAATCAAATTATGAACTAGACTAGATTCCTCTTCAGAACTGTAAATACATTAAATCAGACACAAAACAAAATCTAACTTTAAAACTGTCAGTGATAAAATGATGCAAGGAAAGAATTTCCTATTTCATGCATTCATTAAATATTTTTAAAGTAATTAATAGTCGTTCTTTGATTAATATATTCACAATTGCTATGAAACTTATTAATTAAGTCTTGGGATTCCGCTAAAAGAATATCACTTAGGATTCCATAACCAATGTATAGCATACCAGCGGTTCCCAAATTGGGAACCGCTGGTCTAGTCACTTACGTTTTTCTCTTACTGTTTATTGTCCTGGTAAACTTATACAGATCTGTTATTCATACTTCAATCCTCTAGTCAGCACTTGCGTTTTTCATTTTAATGTGCATTTATCTTCCATCAGTCATAATAACTCTATTTTAGATAGTTGAACAGAAACCCTTCTTCAATAAAAAACATCACAAGTTAAGTTACACAGAAATTTAGAAATGCTTCCAATAATACTTTAAGGAAAATTTCTAAACTTAGTTTCTTGTATTCTCTTGTATTTATCTTCCATCAGTCATAATAACTCTATTTTAGATAGTTGAACAGAAACCCTTCTTCAATAAAAAAACATCACAAGTTAAGTTACACAGAAATTTAGAAATGTTTCCAATAATACTTTAAAGAAAATTTTATAAACTTAGTTTCTTGTATTCGATATTTTAACTAAAATTTTTATTCGAAATAATATGATTTGTTGAATCCGATGTTCCTTTCTAGAACATTTGTTAAGAGACAGTGGTGCTTGTGTGAGATCATGTCCTGATACTAAAAAAGCAGTGGACGGAGAATGTGTGTCCTGTGATGGACCATGTCCTAAAAGTAAGCATTTTTTTAAAATTAGAATTGTTGATGTGTAACTAGTTATTTTCTTTTCAAAAATCGCCTAGACCACGCTTAACATAAAAAATATTTTACATTTGAAAATCTAATATTTTTTTTAAACCCATGAAAGTGGAAATTAATAAGCGTGTATAATCTATATTGTGTATATCTGTATGCTTTTGCTTATGACTTGAATTATAATTCTGTGTCCAGCAGAGGCTATTATTATGAAGCTCAGTGCTTTACAACTTTCTTTTACTTCTTTAATCTCTCTCTCTCTCTTTTTTTCCTGTTGGGTGAACTGTTTAAATTCTATTGATAAAAATGTTGTAACAATAATTAAGAGCTATAATAAATTATGTTAGAGCTATAATAAATGTTGATCTAAATAGTAGGAAAACTTCTTAATAAAATAATGCAATTCATAATAAAAACCTACTTACCTACATACATTGATGTTGTTTTTTTATCAATATTCTAGTATTATTTTTAGATAAAAAAACATAAAAGTTTGTGACTGTCATAACAAACTTTTTTTTTTTACATATTTGTTCATTTTTACTTAATTTTTTCATTAACTATTTAATTATTTGAAGTTGTGATTTACAAATAAATAGCAATTTTATTCTGATGAATTTTTTATAACAGTTTTAACTATTATGAATTAGAACTATTTTATGTATAATTTTTTTAAACATTTCTTATATATGCATTCATACTTAATTTATTACATTTTCTTTCCAGATTGCCAAGGTGTAAATGTAGTACATTCAGGAAACATAGATACTTTCAGGGGTTGTACAGTTATTGAAGGTTCTTTGACCATATTAGATCAGACGTTTGATGGCTTTCAAGATGTCTTTCCTAAGTAATTATTTAAATTTGAATTTATTGTATATAATGTAAAATTTTTCTATTGTCTTTCATCCTGCATATTGCTTTTTTTTTTCAAATAATGGCTTTCAAGATGTCTTTCCTAAGTAATTATTTAAAGTTAAATTTATTGCATGTAATGTAAAATTTTTCTATTCTCTTTCATACTGCTTGTTTCTTTTTTTAAATAATATTTATTTGCTACACTAAGACTTTAAATGAAATTCTATTTCCAAATTTTAAATAAATGTTTGTGAACATTTTTCTTTTAGCTTTACATTTGGTCAAAGATATCCTAAAATGCATCCTAATGAATTAGAAGTGTTCTCCACTTTGAAAGAAGTTACTGGATTTGTAAATATCCAAGCCTCCCATCCTGATTTTCGAAATCTCTCCTATTTTCGAAACCTGGAAATCATTGATGGTCGGCAACTCACAGAGTGAGTAAAATATTTTACAGATATACCAGGGCTTAATCCAGGTCGATTTTGGTACCGTTTTTCGGTACCTTCGCAAAATAAAAATAAAAAAATCGGTACCTTCACAAAATTAAAAAAAAAAAATTTGGTACCTTCAAAAAAAAAAAAAAAAAANAAAAAAAAAAAAAAAAAAAAAAAAAAAAAAAAAAAAAAAAAAAAAAAAAAAACGCATCTTCAGGAAAATAAAGATAAAAAGTTCGAGGGAATTAAAGTGCTGAATAGTTTTCCGAGCGGTTATTATTAACGGTTATTATAATTTTATCTTAGTATTCTGTATTTCTATTATTTTTTTAACCATTAATTCAAAAGTAAAAGTTAGCACAATATCAAAATAATAATTTGTTAATCATAATAAGTTCAATAAATTTTATTAGTAAGTAAGTTAAAAAANCGATTTTCGGATTAGTTTTTAGTGGATAATTAGATCTTGTAGGCTTGAATTTTTTTTCTTTTTACCGTTAGAATGTCGAAGCGTCGAAAATTTTTAACTGAGCTGGAAATAGAGGAAATTATGCAAAATATTTAAACTTATTAATATTTATATTACATTTAAACAAGAAATAACTTAAGTAAATAAAGTATCCATAGAAATATATATAAAGCATATGTCACTTAAATACTCTACAGAACAATATTAAACAACGCGCTGATATTTCGGTAATTTCATGGAATTAGGCTTAACATCAAAAAACCCTCCGGCCCTGGGGAGACACACGCTAGAGAGACTGTCGGCCTCAGCGGTAAGCGCGCTTTGCGTCGCGAAAGGGTTAATAACATGCTATCAAACAATCTTTATTTTTTAAACTTTATTTTTTATGAAGCACTACCTTGTTTAAAATATGCTTTTCTCAAAATTTTAACTGACTTTCATTTAATATTTCAGATTAAATGCAGCACTGTATATAGTCAAGACATCGCTGCAAAGTTTAAATCTTCGTTCACTGCGCAAAGTGAGGTCAGGGAGTGTTGCAATTTTGGAAAATAAAGAATTGTGCTTTGCAAGTGATATTGTATGGCAGCAATTGATGAGATCTAGTTCTGGAACTGTCCTTCTTCATCCAAATGCCAAAAAAGAGTATTGTGGTATGCATCTATAAATGTTTTATTCAATTTTGTCGCATAAACTGTTAACGTTTTCAACCTTTTTTTTAAAAATTGGATAACTAATCACTTTGTCTCTTTTCCTCATAAGTAAAATACTATTTTTATGTGTCACGATTAAAAATTTTATGTATCAAAATTGACAAATGAATTTTAATTTTTTATTTTAGAAAGTAAAAATCTAGTGTGCCATGAACAATGCTCAAAAGATGGATGTTGGGGATATGGTCCAGATGAATGTCTATCTTGTAAATCTTACAAATTAAAAGATAGATGTGTGCAAGGTTGTAACACTACTCGCGGGTAAGACATTTGTTACTACCTTTTTATTATTTGTATGCTACACATCTAAGTCTTGATTAATTTTTAATATTAAAGTTTTACCCATTTATAAATTTGATACTTGTACATTTATTTTCATAACATGTGTTGCAAATGAATTAAATAGAGTTCTATTTGTATAATGTAAAAGATAAATAATACATTATAGGAATGTTATGTTTGTATAATAAGAAATAAATATCTTTAATTAATTAACTGATTTTAATTTACTGTAACTTTGACAATGTTTTTATGTGAAAAACAAATAGTTTAGGTAGAAAAATTTCAGCCATTAAGTAAATTACTGCTAATATGATACTTATTGCTTATTCGATAAGTGTATCAAAATACCACTATAAATGAAAAATTAAAGTTTCAAATTATTTAATAGGAGAAAGTATCAATAACTTCTATAGCCAATACATTAATTTAATATTCTGAAATTCGACCTCCACTTTCTGTTTTTTAAAATTAAATTTGAAATTATATTTATAGGATTTATGATGCTGGGAATCAAATCTGTGAGTTTTGTGATGGAGAGTGTTTAGGAGAATGTCTAGGACCTGTAAGTATTCAGTATTTTTATTGATAATGTTCATATTTTAGGTTACATATCATTACTGATTTTAATACTTTTAAGAAATTAAATAATGTTTTTTTTATTAATTTATAAACAAATTGCAAATTTAAAGGATGAGGTAAGTTTTTCTTAAAATATTACTAAGAAATATTGACAAGCTTTTCAAAGAATAGGAAATAAAAGAGTTCAGGGCTGACTCATATGTAAAATATCTGTTTTACTTATAATGTCATAAATCCTATAAACTAGTATAATGTCATAAATCCTATAGTGTTGACTAGTTAAAAAATAATAATTTTATTTCTTTACCATGCTTTGTGCAATATCTTTCACATAAATTCTAATGATCTTTTGTTTCGTTCAGGGACCAAGTAATTGTACTCAATGTAGAAATGCTCGTGATGGTCCTTATTGTGTTAGCCAATGTCCTGTGAGTAAATACAACGAAAATCGGGAATGTATGCCATGCCATGAAAACTGCATCAATGGGTAAGAACAGAAAAACAAAATGTTTTTACCTTCATATTTTTATGTTTTTTTTTTCTTTCTAATTTTTGATTTGTTGGATTTTTATTTTGTTAGACTCATAATTTAAAAAAAATTATTTTATTAAAGTTTGTCTCCTTTTTTTTGAAGAAAAAATTAAACAAAAATATTTCTTTATGTTTTTAACATTTATTTATTAAAATAATAATTTGTTACACAAGTTGGTCTGCATTTTTTCCTGTCACTATTATGTCCTTTTTTTCTTACATTGTTTATTAGCCTTAAAATAAAGTACATTTAAAGAGTAATCACTGTATTATAATTTTTATATCACTATATTATAATTTTTACATATTGCTCGTATAAAAATTTTTTAAGTCAATACTTCTTTACTAAATCAGCACTAAGTAATTATGCGTTAAATGAATTTTTTTTATAATTTTAATAATTTCGATTTATTTTTCTTTATGTTTAGCTGTACCGGTCCTCGGAACACTGTCGGACCTGGTGGGTGCAACTCTTGTGATAAAGCCATAGTCAGTGCTTTTGATCCAAATACTGTTGTAAGTTTAATTTACATTTTTTACGTTTGTTTAATTTTATTGCAAGTTATTGATTTTATAGCAGAGATATATTAAAGTGGGATCAAATCCACCCAAAACTCAATTATTTTTTTTTTAAAGTATAATTATTTACTAAATCATTTATTCTAAGTAAAAAAAACAACTTTTTCCTCCAAAAAATTCTGAGTATATCGCATAAATACTGATTATTGTTTCTTCATATAATAAATTTTGACTCAAAATGTATTAGATGGTGCATATAAATTCAGATTAGGTTTCCAATTATATGTAGCATATGATATAATTTTTACAAAGACGCTTTAATCGCAATGTGTATTTTACTAAATAGTTAGGTTTAGGTTTTACTAAATAATTATTAATAATTTAATAATAGAAATTCATGTCATGTAACTTGTATTTCTTTTTTATTGCTAATTTATAAGTGTGTTTAGTTGTGAGAGCAATTCATGTTTTATGGTATCATCAGTTTTATATTTAATTTTGTGAATATTTACAAGTATTATAAATGTGTTGTTAATTCTTTTAGGAGCAGTGTCTGAAACCTGAAGAACCTTGTCCTCTTGGTTTTTACCAAGAATATAGTGGACCTCATGAAGAAGGCATCATGAAGCTGTTAACAGGGAAATCTGTAAGTGTTTCTATGGTTGTTTTGTATTTAAAATATAAGAATAAACTTTTTTTGTAATACAACTCAGTACTTACTACATTTTTAAAGATATATTTTTTGTTCTGCTAAACTAAGTTATTTAACTTCATTATTTTTTACAAGTATAAGCCTAAATTAATTATATTATTTTCAAAACATAATACTAAACTCTCCCTTTTGTAGAAATTTACTATGTTAGCTCTTTATAACATCCATTATATTTTGATACATTTATTGACTGTTAATTAAATTTTTCTTTTTTCTAAGCTGTATTGTTTCATTAACCTATTAAACCTATATATTACAATATTATTTCATTAACAAGTACCTATTATTTGAAACATTTGATTCCAATTTCTCTTGTATAGGATAGGACTCTATACATTATTTTTTTATGTATAAATGCTCAAAATCAGTATGATCAGTTGAAAACATGCAGAACAGTGAGGCAAAATTCTATACGCAGATTCATTCAAAGTTTTTTTAAATAACTATATTAATCATTTTTAGAATTTGAAAGCCAGTGTTTCATTTTAATTAAAATTGAATATCAGAACAGAATCTAAGATAAATGAAATATAAAATTGACACATTTTTTTAGGAGTTTTCTGGAGAAGAATTCTATTGACTCTTGCATGTTTTAATTCCATAGGCTTATACATTTTGTGTTAAAACTCTTTATAAAACTTAAAGACATTTATAAGATTATTTATGTAATTAAATATTATTTTAGGTTTGTCGACAATGCCACCATAGATGCAAAAACTGCACTGCATATGGAATTCACATTTCTACATGCGAATGTTTGAACTACCGTGTTGGGGAACAATGTGAAGACAGTTGTCCACGTGATCACTTTCCCGACAATATAAATTTTCATTGTGTCAAATGTGCGGAGGAATGCAGGGGGTGCTATGGCCCTTCAAGTACAGATTGTGAAGCTTGTAGAAACTACAGAGTACACTTATCATCTAATAGAACACTGGTGCGTATTTGATTTCAGATGATAATTTATTGTAACATTAAGTCTTTCTCACCTGTTACTGTTAATCATAAAGACTTAAGTAATTCTTAATTATATTATTTTTACAGTTCAATTGTACAGCCTCTTGTCCAGCAGATAAACCTTACAAAGTATTTGATGACAATATGGAGGATCCATACTGTTCTGATATCGATCCCATAGCCATTGCCTATAGTGGAATGTAAGTTGAACTTAGGAATGTTTTTTATTGTTCTTGAATGCATAAATAAATGTGTCAAGCATAAGAATTTATTTATAATTATTGCGATTTTTTAATCAAGATTAGGTTGAGTCTTATGGTTGAGTAATATAAATTATGGTTTTTTAAACTTTTTGTAATAATTAGAATAAAGTTTCTTCTCAACTACCTATAGTTCTGAAATTTTGTTGTTTGCAGCGAATATTCGAAAAAATATATATCACTTAAATCTTAAATATCACTTCTTTTTTTGTTTAACTGGAAATTTATGCTTTATTATTAAATCGTTAATTTTATTAGGTATGTACCTATTTAGAATTAAGTACTGAAAGCACCTTAAAATTATGTATAGCTAGTTTTCTAAATGTTTTTATAATACAATCAAAACTTCAGTGCATAGAAGATTCTATAAAGTTTCACATGGAATTTTTGTAAAAGTGTTCTTGTAAAATGAATGAATTACTTTTTTATTGATGTAGAAATACTGTTGCATAGTATTTTTTATTTAATGCACATTTCATAGTAATGCACATTATACACATTTCATAATAACTTTCTTATGTTACTTTGTGTAAATATATCGCTACAATACTTAATAATATTCCCTATTTCACGGAATCATAGATTTTTTAATATTTTTAGTGAGGAAGAGCATTGGCCAGCCATCTTAGGTGGAAGTATTAGCTTTGTTTTCTTGTTGATGGTCTTTGCAGCTGTCATTGGTTACCAATGGATGCAGAAAGTAAAATCAAAAGAGAATACTATCTTAATGACAATGGTAAGCAACATTATAAATTTAAATTGTTTTGAGTAAAAAAGTTTTTTTTGTCTTTAATAAAAGTGATCGTAACATTCATCCTTTCCTCATTAAATTTATTACTGGCTGTCATGCACTTAAACCAAGAAGGTAAAGTTGAGTACTTTTTGGGAAACCGAAATAACTAATAAAGATTTTTCTTTTCTTTTATTTAATTTTTTTTATTATGAACAATATATTAACTGATTCTTTAATATTTTGTAATTGCTCTTATTATATCAGTGTGTTATTTTTTAACAGCGCATGAGCGGATTTGAAGACAATGAACCACTGAAACCTACTAATGTGAAGCCAAACTTAGCTAAGCTTCGTATTGTGAAAGAAGCAGATCTAAGGAAAGGTGGAATACTCGGCTATGGCGCTTTTGGCACTGTTTACAAGGTAACTATATTCATTTGAAATACAGGAATGAAAAATAATAAAACCGACATTTTTTTCGAGGTTGAAAAGTCTTATTGTATGCCAACCAATTTTTGTTTCAGGATATAAAATTTTATTCAAATTAATATGAGTTCTTCATTCTTAAAATTTTTTTTAGGGTGTTTGGATACCTGAAGGTGAAAATGTCAAGATACCTGTAGCAATCAAAGTTCTACGTGATGGGACCTGTCCCAACAATAACAAAGAAATATTAGAGGTAAATATTGGCTGCTGAACAATGAGATATACATCATGCCTACAATATACACTTGATAAGTTTTCTTTAAATTCTATATTGCAGATTTGCGGCTGTTAATCAGAGTATAATTGTTTCAAATTAAATTCATTATAATTGAGCATAAATCACGCTGTTTCGTCTACAAATATACTTGGGCACATTAAGCCTAACATTACCGTGCATTAAATTTTGCGGTTTAATTTACAAGTGTGTAGTAAAATTATTTTTTATTATGTTCTTTAATAAAAATTTGAGTTATATAAATCCTCTGAATAATACAAATTAAATATAAAGCAGCATTTTTTACTAATATATAATTTTTTTCTTTTTTTAAACTTCTGCACCTCTAACAATATTATGAATGTTTTTTTAGGAGGCTTATTTTATGGATAGTGTGGATCATTCAAATTACAAAACAAAACTATATAACAAAATTTTTTATTAATTTATAATTTATTTATTTTCTATTTTTAAACTTCTGCATCCCTAACTATATTATGAATGTTTTTTAGGAGGCTTATTTTATGGCTAGTGTGGATCATCCCAATTTGTTAAAACTTTTGGCTGTCTGTATGGCTTCCCAGTTAATGCTTGTCACTCAATTGATGCCTTTAGGATGCCTACTGGATTATGTTCGTTCCAATAAAGACAAAATTGGTTCTAAGCCGCTTCTTAATTGGTGTGCTCAAATTGCTCGGGTAAGTTCAATTTTTATCAATAACTTCTTTTCAAGCTAGTGTTAGTTATTTCATTTAGTTATTTTTATTATCTAGCTTTTATTATAATTTTTCTGGGGAAAGTTTACTGACTTAATTTATTTTGTTTTTGGTTATCTTGGATATAGAGTATAGAAAGTGTTATTGAAACTAATTTACCACCCTCTTATTATCTACTCAAATGAAATTCTGTAAAATTTAAATCAGTATTATTGCTCTAAAAAATCTGACGTGTATGTTGCTTTAACACAATCCTAGAAGAAAATATCTGCAATTTTGTATGTGTGCATAGAAATAATATTTATTTTAAATATAGAAGTACAAATTAAAATGACAAATCAAGTTTTTTACCAGTATATTGTATTAGTTGTTTAAAATCACCATTCTGCATGTTCTAGTGTAAAAATATTACTATTGTGATTAAAATTATTTACAAATTAATAATAACTTGAAAAGAAGAAAATGTAGTTATTTATATTTTTTAATTGCTTCCCTTATTAATTCCTCTGAAAAAATTGTCATTTTTTTTATTATATTATTAAATTACAAAACTGGAACAAAACATATGTTGGACAACTTAATGCAGTACAGAACCCGTTATCCGGAAATCAGAAAACCGGAAAACCAAAAAACCGGAACAAAATTTTATAAATTTTCCCGCAATTTTAAATTTTTTTTTTTCCTCTTAAGATTTTAGGATCTTTCTTTCTTTTTTGAAAGATGTTTACCTTACCATCATTTTGGAAATAATTATTAGTGTATTACTTCATCATTTTTTCTTCTTTTTAATTATTTATTATTTCCAAATATTTATTTTTTTTTAGTTGGGCTTAACAATAAAAGAACATCTTTTTGTAGAGATTCAGAAAACCGGAAAAATCAGTTATCCGGAATAGCGAAGGTCCCGATCGTTCCGGATAATTGGTTCTCTACTGTATATTGAAATAGAATATAACAAATCGTAGTGACTATTTTGCTAGGCCTGAGGTTTTTTGGGATAATAATTATTTGCAATACATATAAACACATCTGAAAACTTGAGATAATCAAAGAAGTATTCAATAAACTTGCCTTATTTTCAAAGCATACCAATTTTGCCAAGAGTTAAAAATTTTTTTTTACTACAACATTAGAATATTGATATAATGTCTCTATAAAATTGTTAATATTACTTTTGTAGTGTTATATGAAGTATGATAAATACCCTTATCTATTATTTTAAAATCATAGGATGTTTTAGCAATAATCATAAAGTGATTATTTTTATTAAATAATTTGATGCTATACATTTCCATGAGTAATAATCCTCCAGACCTTTAAGGATGAAGTATTACAACTTGCTCACAACTTGAAAAAAATAATACTTAAGCATAGATCTGGACTCTTGTGCTATTGAGCTCTACATTATACTTGATTCAAAATATCGAATGTATCAAAAAAGTTTAAATGATTAACACTATCTTAAATATTGTTGAATCTATATAAATTGATTGGTTATTAAATCAATATGAAGTGATATATTAAAATATTGCTATTTCTGTAATGAATTAGGTTTTATTTTTTCAAACAGGGTATGGCATTTTTGGAGGAAAGACGAATGGTTCATCGAGATTTAGCCCTTAGAAATGTTTTATGTAAGTTAGCCTTTTCATTTTAGATATGCTTTTGAGAGTTGTATTAACTTAGAATTGGTTTATTTATAATTTTTAAACTTTTTATAGTGCAAACTCCAGGGATTATCAAAATAACTGACTTTGGTCTAGCTAAATTTTTGGACATAAATGAAGAAGAATACAAGGCTGAAGGTGGCAAGGTAAGAATCTTCCAAAGAATATTAAATTTTTTAATTGCTTTGTTTTCAAATTTTTTAGTAATATTTTTACCTTATTTAACCCACAGAAATTCTGAAGCCCAACAAAACTGTTTTTAAAATGCAGATTTCAAACATTCTTTGTAATTTTTAACAACTTCTTTAAATAATATGGTAATAACTAGATAATTCTCTTATTTTTCTTTCATAAAGTAATTTTCATCTCTTGAAATATTTAATTTTTTTTTTCAATTTGGTTAGAAGTGCTTTCTTCTCTACATCTTATAATTTTTATTAATGCATTTTTATTTGTTGAAATTATCATTATTTATTACATCAATTATTTTTTAATCTTTTTAAGATTCTAACTAGGTGCTTGAAAGTACCTAGTAATGAGTTTTTCTTTCATCCTTTTAAATTAATAGTTTCTTTAATTCAAATTTAAAAAAAAACCATTTTCTAACTGAATGATTCATCAAGACTATATTGAAAAACATATAAATATATTTTTCATAAATTTGCTATATGTTATGGGTGCAATTATATATTATTTTAATCACTATATAGTTCTCACATTATTAAAGATATTAGGTAATTTACTGTTAACTGTTTTCTAGAAGTTGCATTTTTTTATCTAATTGTATAATTATTATTCCAGATGCCTATTAAATGGTTGGCATTAGAATGCATACAACACAGAATCTTCACCCACAAGAGTGATGTTTGGGCATTTGGTAAGTTCTGGTATTTAAATATGCAGAATTATTGTGTTACAGTTTTTCTGAAAAGTGTGCAAGTATTAATGACACATATGTTTTATCATTAGGTGTCACTGTGTGGGAGCTGTTGACATACGGTGGAAGACCCTATGAGAATATTCCTGCACGAGAAGTCCCCGATCTTTTAGAAAAGGGTGAAAGATTGCCACAACCTGCTATATGTACCATAGATGTTTACATGCTGATGATAAAATGTAAGCAATTATTTTAAGTAGTAATTATTATCAAAATTATTTAAAATAATTACTTTTTAAATATCAAGTTTGTGGATTTCATTTTTATTGATAAATTCTATTAGTCTTTAGGAACATTAAAAAAATTAATTTCCTCATAGATTAAATTAAGTATATTTTTAAAGTAGTAATATAAGTTCTACAATGGCACTGACGTGTTATTTTGAAGGATTATCTCTGACAGTGACTTAAATGCCACCCAGTTTCAAATTGATGGATACAGGATTGATTGAGAAGTTAAGCCAGCCAGTGTGCATTTATGACCATATTGTTACCAGCCTGTAGTTTGTTTCGAATTTAAAGACTTGATTCATATTTAATAACTGAAAAATTTTATATCTGATTGCTGTCACTGAAGAATATGAGATAAATATTATTTTAAATAACAAGTAAAATAGGACTCAAATTTAAACGTCATGTTTCTTAAGAGCCAAATCTTGTGGAATCACTTCTTTGGTATTTTATGAACTAAAATTTAAACAAAATATTTTTCTCTTAAAATTTGTTTAATTTACAAATTAAATTAAAAATTTTAATCATCAAATGCATTATTTTATTTCAGGTTGGATGTTGGATGCTGAATCTCGTCCTACATTCAAAGAGCTGGCCGATCAGTTTGCCAAGATGTCTCGAGATCCAGGGCGTTTTCTAGTCGTAAAAGGTGACAAGCTGTTACAACTGCCACCTTACTCTGGTTATGATATGAAGGAACTGATGACTGCCATTGGTATGACTCTTGATGCTCCTGGAGTTGTTATGGACGCTGAGCAATACCTGCATCCTAAAATAGATGATGAGCAGAAAGCAGAAACTGATTCTGTTACTAAAAATAAGGTAAGATATAATGTCTGATAATAGAGATAATAGATAGTCTAATAATAGAAATAGTAGTCCTGGCTTTAATACTATATGCGTGCACATATATAGTTATTTAAATCTTTCTCAGTTAAAAAAGAAAAATAATTATTCATTTTTTTAGCATTAGTTATGTTTTGCATTTTTTTTAAAGTTATTTTCTGTAATAAGTTTTTAATAATTTTGCATGTTATACATCTTTGGCATTTACAGGACTTTCTAAATCTACTGAATTTTAACATTTTTTTTCTTATTCCATATCTTTTAAAAGCTTAAATGTGTTTTACACTTATTCTACTCTCTTTTTGCTGAGATTTTTATGTAATTTTGTTTAATATAATTAGTTTCTTATTGAAGGACATATTTATTTATTATTTATTAATTTTTTTGAATATATACATTTTAAATATATTTTTAATTATTCTGTTTTTTTTTAGCATTAGTTATGTTCTGCATATTTTTTTAAGTTATTTTCTCTCATAATTTTTTAATAATTTTGCATGTTATACATCTTTAGCCATTACAAGGAGTTTCTAAATCTACTGAATTTTAACATCTCTTTCCTATTCTGTATCTTTTAAAAGCTCAAATGTGTTTTACACTTATTCTACTCTCTTTTTGCTGTGATTTTTATGTAATTTTGTTTAATAGAAAATAGTTTCTTATACGAAGACATATTTATTTATTAATTTTTTAAATATACCCAAGAAGACCAAATTTATGTAGTGAAACATAATTGTGTTGTTATTTTTACTAGGACTAACACAATTTTTATTTGTAATAAAACTTTTGAAACTCCAAATTAAGAATCAATAAAAATAGCTGAAAGTTGTATAATGCTTGAGTTTTAATAAATTTTTGAAGGTTTAAAATATTTAAATATAATGGTTATCCTTGTCCTGCAATTTATGTTATTTTAACTTTCTTGCATGTAGCCACCATCAGAAAGCAGGAGCACGCCAACAACGCCACTCAGCTTGCAACCAGAACTGATGCCAATGCAGCAGCCTGGGAATCCAACTATGTGGTATAATGGTCAGGCACTGCCAGATCAACCTCCCCCAGTTCCTCGATACTGCCCCGATCCCTTACTAAATGGTGGCAAAAGTAAGTAATCTAGCTATAATGTAATCAATAGTTGTTTTTTTCATCAATATGATGTGAATTGTAATTTGCTAATTTTATCTTTGGATAGAGAGAAAAATTGATTTTACTTCAAATTGTTTGTATAGTTATTTAGCGGTTTTTAGTTGAATTTTAAAAATGTTTGGGATAAGATGAGTTTTTAAAGAAAATCAAGGTTTTCAATTCTCAAGGTTCTCATTAATTTTTGAGAATCTAATCTTATCATACAAATAGACTAAACTGTTTAACAGTGTTAATGGAGCACGAGTCAAGTACAAAAATGGACACATACTTTCAGTTGTGTAAACAAGAACCTTCCCCTTCCTCTATGTCAAAATACCAAATGACATTATAAAAGTAAAAAAAGATAAACATGTGCAAAGTAGTTTAACCAATCAGGACAGAGGAACAAGTTTGAAGGATATAGTTAAAAGAAGGGGGATATAAAACGTGTGTGGCGATTTGGTGGGAACCCGGGGGGCAAAAGATAAAATTTGAATAGATTTCTACTCATAAAAGGGTGGGATGCTAGGAAGATCGAAATGATTAGACTTTTCCAATACATAGAGTGATTAACTGAAATCAAAAGTCTGGGACAGATCTAATTTAAAATCATTTTTTAAATTGATTCATAAAAATTTGTCGATATGTTATTTTAATACTGGATTTTTGGGTTAAGGAAATATTTCAAATTTTTCTATGATAGAAATATCCAATTTCATTGAATTATTTAGGTATTATTTTAAGACATTAGAAGTTAAAAGTAATCAGTTTGTTTGTACTAGTGTTGAAAGCATAACCTAATACCTATTGCCAAAAAAATATCCTGTTCCTCTTTTTTTTTAAACTCGTTTTGAAACAATTAGTTTATTAAATATTTATTCTAGAATCACTTTCTTTTTTAGATGATGTGTTTAAATTTGATCACGGGGAAAAGTACTTAAGTCAGCATCCGCCACTGCCAGTAGATGAAGAAGACTATTTAATGCCAGCTTCTTGTTCTAGAGGTCCGTCGGTCCGATATATGGACCTTATTGGTGATACACATTTACCAGGTTTGTTATCTTTCATTTTATCTTTGTATTAATGTTTTTTTTTCTATTTTTCCCTATTATTGATTAAATAAGAGTATTTGAGCAAACTAGTTAAATAAGAAATGAATTAAAATTTATATTAATACATAAGAACAGTGATTTTTTTTTTTGCACCTGTGAAAGGAGATAGTTGAAGAGTAATTTTTTTCTCAAAGATTTATGATTCCCCCCCCCCCNATGATCCTAGAGCCTAGTTTTCTGCAAAATAAAATGTCTTTTTTTTTTTTTTTTTTTTTTTTTAATAAAATTACATTTTATATTTGTTGTAAATTATATAAAAGTTGCCATTTTATTTTAAGTATATAATATTTTCCAAACCGTTTTTGTGATGAATTCTTTTGTTTTCGAACTAAATGAATTTTTCTAAANCTCTTTTTAAGATTATTTCCATAATTTTGTTTTTTTTTTAGTTGGGTTTAACAATAAAAAAAACTGCTTTTTGTAGTGATTCAGAAAACCGGAAAAATCAGTTATCCGGAATAGCGATGGTCCCGATCGTTCCGGATAATCGGTTCCCTACTGTACTAGTGTTGAAAGCATAACCTAATACCTATTGCCAGAAAAATGTCCTGTTCCTCTTTTTTTTAACTCGTTTTACAATAATTAGTTTATTTAATATTAAGTCTAGAATCACTTTCTTTTTAGATGATGTGTTTAAATTTGATCACGGGGAAAAGTACTTAAGTCAGCATCCGCCACTGCCAGTAGATGAGGAAGACTATTTAATGCCAGCTTCTTGTTCTAGAGGTCCGTCGGTTCGATATATGGACCTTATTGGTGATACACATTTACCAGGTTTGTTATCTTCCATTTTAGACTATTATTTTATCTTTCTGTAATGTTGTTTTTCTATTTTTCCCATTTTCTACCTGTGAAAGGAGATAGTTTAAGAGTAATTTTTTTCTCAAAGATTTATGATTCTCCTCGCAATGAGATTAAAGCTTGAAAAAAATTGGTAGTTTTCGGCAAAATAAAATGTAGTCTCTTTTTATATAAAATTAAATTTTATTTGTTGTAAATTATATAAAAGTTGTTATCCAGATTGCGTCGCGTTTTTGAAAAGTGCTTAAAGGTGCTTATTTTTGATTTATGTTTTTTAAAAGCCCTAATTTTAATTAATTTTCCTGATTTAATTTTCTGTCTTTTAAAACAAGATTTTTTCTCTCTCGGATCTATTGTTGTTCTAAATTACCAAAAAATGCATGATTTTCACAAATTTTTCTACTTATCAGAAACTAGTTATTTTATCGAGATTATGTAAAGTTTTTGAAAATGTTTTTTAATTTTATTGATTCTATGTTTATTAATTAAAAACTTTAAACGATAAAAAAAATTTAATTTTTATTACTGCACAGATCCTAATTAGGATTTTTTTTAGAAAGTGATTAAAAATATTTTTTGAGTGCTTAAAAAGTACATAAAAGGTGCTTATTTATTGTTGAAAAATCTGGCTACTCACCTTGTCATCTTATTTTAAATATATATAATATTTTCGGAACCGTTTTTGTCATGAATTCTTTTGTTTTCGGTCTAAATAAATTCCTGTAAAAATAATCCTAGAGCAGGCACTAAATATAACATAACCATTTTTTAATAATGTGTTTTAAAAATTAATGACATCATTTTACGGGTCTTAATAATATTGTGATATATTTTTTAAATTATGTACCCATAATTAAGCATTTTTTTAATAATATGACACAATTATAACAGTCTATTTTCCTTTTCTAGAAACAGTGGATGTTAGACCCTTAAGTTATTATCACTATATTCCTGACTTCATTCCTGTTCGTCGTCATGCAATGGACAATTTAGAATATCACATGATGAACGACAGTAGTGCCAACAATAATCAACCCATGCCTCCCTTTCAAAGACTATCAAATGGGGAGGAGGACTCTGAATATATGAGTAACGGGAAACGAGAACTTATATCCTCTAATCATCATCGAAATGAAACAACGGTTTAGTGCAGCATTATAAACCCATTTGTATATACACCCCATTGTTACACTGAAAAAGTTGATCCATTGAACACTGTTTGTATATATATATCTCGTTTGCTGCAGCTCATCGAATTTAAATCGACTCATTAAAATTTCATCTGTTCATGTCGCTAAAATTTGCTCAAGCCATGGTGGTAGACCATTTTAATTCATTTGAAAAAGATGCTATTCATTTGTTGGAAGTACTTTAAAAAAATCAATCTCGGATTGAATACGAATGTTGTGCCTTTGTGACATGTTTAGTCACATTATAAAAAGAGATGTTTTATGGGATCAAAAACTTTTAGAAACTGCTTTTGGTTTTTTGTTAATAAAAAAAAGACTTATTTTTGTACATATTTACATCAAAATTGTTATGAACTGGTGCTCTTGCATTCCAATAAAAGAAACTTTTTACATCTGGTTGGGATAAAAATTGCCAAATATGTGCCTTATAAATTATGAAGACGGTGTTTTCTCATGCCCAAGAATTCTTTGATTTGTAAAGAGCAAGCATTCAAAAAGAAATATGTGATTTTTGTTATTGTGTTGTTTTCAAGTATTTTTTTCATACTGTTTCTCAGTTCTGATGACTTTTAAATACTTTGTTTTGTGTTCATTAATGTTGTTCTATTATTGACTCTGAGGTTTTTTTTTTAATCCCTCAAACACCCTTTTGATTGCAGCTAGGAGATACATCATGTTTTTCACATGTTTTTTTATTAAGACCTCAAGTGCATTTAGATTTTTTTTCTTTTTTCTGAGGACCTTGTTCCAATTTTTTTATTTTCATTGCCACATTTTTATAATAATTTCATTTTTTTTGTTGTTAGTTTAAAGTTAATTTCATACCTGCTGTTTTCATTTGTTGATTTATTTATTATGATTATTATTTTTTTCAACTTCAAAATATAGTTTTTTTAATTTTTTTTTCATTGTTTAAAATTGCCATTTATCAAGGAATAATGTACATTAAGCTAAATATTAGTTTACATATTCTGTCTTTAAAAACACATTGAAAAAACAATTTTAAGAGGACGATATACTGCGGAAAGAACTGTAAAAAATTCTGCTTCATAATTTATTTTTCTTATTTATTTATTTTTTTTAAATTTTAGAGAAAGATTTGAAAGTGAGTTCAGGTGAACAAAGAAAATGTTTTCAAAATATCCAGCTGCAATTTCAGGAAATTAAATTCAACAAATTGTTGCAGAATTGCTCCTCCACTGCATAATCTTATGTTATCCTGTTTTAATTTTTTTAAAAATATTTTGAAGGAAAAAAAATAATTTCATTATTTGAAACTTCATGGCAACATCACTTTTTCTGTACATTAAATTATAAATTACTTATATAAATAAGCGGAAATTTACCATTAAAGATTTCTCTCGCTATATGGCGTCCTCTTAAGTTACTGCTTGATCATTATTTTTTAATACATGAACTAGTAAATTATTTACTTTTAGTTGATAGAACAGGTACTCTTCTAGGAAATTGCTTCATAATTTTTATTGACAAATATGTTTTTTGAAGTAAATGATTTCTTATGGAGTTTACCCATTTCTACGTAATTACTAAAAAATATGTGGAAAATAAAAAGAATTTTTGGTGTATTATTACCATATTTGAACCATTGTTAATTTATTGTTATATAAATGGTAAAATTTGTGAACAAAAAAAAAAAAATTCCGAAAATTATTGCTACGGTTGTTTAGTTTAGTACATTCTGATAAGACTTAAAAATGAAAGCATTCAAGTATATTATTTCTTTGCCAGTAAATCTGGTTCAGAAAAATATATTAGACCCCTTTTTTTTCCGAATTATATTATTAGATGGTGGCAGTTTAAGAAATTGTAGTTAAATTTGTTACAAGATAATTTCTTGTTATATTTGAATTCAGAGAGGAAAAAAAACACATAAGCATTTAATTACTAATTTTCCCTATTGGAAAATAGCAGGTATGCAATTATCACATTCATTTGTAGATTTAAAACATTTTAAGGTCTTTCTGCTATGTGATTTTGTGCACTAGTTACGTTCCACTTTTCTCTTAAGCAGAAAGATATTGTTAAAGTAATAGAACAGCTAAAGATTGTGCTATAGATTAGCTACAGATTTAGTGCCATATGGCTGTGTTACATGTGAGTTGTTTTCATTTTGTTTTAGTTTTGGTTAATGTTTGACTTTTATTACAGCAAATTGTTCTGTTATTCAAATATTTTGGCAATATTCCATCATTATCCCATTCAAATAATGCATGAAATTTGGTGTAATTAATATGATTATTTCAGTTTTAAAGTTTAAGTATTCAGTCTGTAAAGTTTAAATTTTTTTTTATATACAATTTAGTTTATCTTGAGAGTCATTTGCATTTATTTATATTTTTTATTTTATAAAACAGTGTAACATTTTATCAAATTATACCAAAGTTATGATAGTTAAAATTTTTTAATTATTTTCGGTATTGTCAATTTTTACAAATTTTGATAATATTTTCCATATGAAATATTGAAATAAGCCAGTGTATTTAGTATCTTATGCTTTCAATGCCACAATCTATATTGTTTTTAAACTTGATGATTTTAATGGGAACACTATTTTTACTTGTTTTCTTTACACTTGCGTCTGTTTATATTTTATACAATGTTTTATAAACTGATTTTCAATTTTGACCATGATGTTTTTCAAAACTAATATATATTTACAATTGTAACGCATAACTTTTTTTTTTTTGGCTATTTAAGTAAAAGAAGAAAAAAATTCAACTTTGTAAAAAATATCAAAAAAGTTTTAGTGATTTTATGTTTTTAAATTTAACAATGTTTTTAAATATCATGCTGTATGTTCAATTTAGATAATTTTGTTTAATTTTTTAATTGTAAGAAGGATTTTGTATTATTCCATTATAAATGAAAAACAACCCGTTTAATCAGGGATGCTGAGGCATGGGAGCCCGTTTTTGGGGTAGGAAGTTTCTAATTTACACTTTCTTATTCTTCCATAAATGCAAAACTAAAAACTTTTTTTGCTTTTTGATATTTAAATATTAGTGATTATATATTATATTTGAGAACATTTGGGGTAGTTGTCTAATTAGTGTTTTTTCACTATCTTTTTTCATATTTTTTTTTTATCTCTTCAAATGTTAAATGATAAAACTCTATTTAGTGTGGGAATTTGTGGGCAGCTTAAATAAACAATTTTTTTCTATCTTTAAATTTATTTTTATCGTTTCTCACATAATAAAAGAAGTACAAATATTTTTTTTTAATTTCAATATACAAGCCATTATCATGGAGTGAGGTACATTTTGGTAAATAATACTAAACCGTTATAATTGGTCAAAAATAAGCTCAGCCTCAAAATTTTTCTTGATGGGCGCCCATGCTCGCAGATAATCGTGGCTCTTCTGTATTGCCTTTTTAAGAGCTAAAATTATTTTCTTCTTCAGATAGAAAATATGAATAAATAAAAACGAATAAGGGAATAATTGTTATTTTAAACAAGTTTTAAAATTTGATTTTGCCTTAAATAATTTTGCCATTTACATTATTCTTTTCCACTTGGCCTTTTTTTGCCTCTGGCGTTCTTGCATTTAATGTTTCGTTTAAATCAGATTCATATATGTTAAAAAACTGTTGCTGTAATTTTCATATTTGTTGGATTTTGCCATTTATTTTTTTTATATAAAATTTCTTTCTTTTTTTTTTTTAATGTAAAATTAATGTTAAATTCATTTTATCCCTTGTGGCAATCTTGATTTTAATTGTGATATATTTTTACAATCAGTTTGTTTGTGATTTTTTTTTCTATTACGAAATTTTATCCTTTCTTGAAAAGAGTTAATTTTTTTTTTGAAAAAAAAAAGGAAAAAATGTTTTTGTTAAATTCACCCTTATCCATAAAAATCAGCATTTTGTTTCGATCGCATGTTATTAATATTTTAATGGAAATATTAGATTTTTACTACTGCACTTGTTTTATGCCATTTTGTAATAATATTTTGTATATTTTGTACATTCCTTTTTATAGATGAAAATTTATTATTATTATTTTTTTTTAAACTACAAAGTGATCTATTTTAATAGGATTATTTGAATTAATTCTTAGAATGACTTTTTAAATTTTAAATGTAAAAATGTACAAAAATCATTATTTTTGGAAACATTGTTTAGATGCAGTATTAATGTTGCAATAAACACTTTTTGTAAAAAAGAATATGAATCATTATTGCCTTTGTTTAATTAGTATCCTTTAATGTTGCTTTTAACCATAAACACAGTATTTATTGTGGCAGCAATTACAATAGATATGCCAACAACACTGAGAAGTCTTTCGTGAAAGGCTAATAACTAAATCAGATTAGGGGAGAAATATTAGTGTAAAGGTAGTTAATTTTTTTTAATGACTTCTAGCAACTTACTTCTCATTTTAGTTAATTTTCTTGCAGCTCTGCAAAATTGGTGATTTAGCGATTTATATGGCAATTTTTTTCTAGTAATGGTATGTTAAAATATTTTTGGAATTTAGATTGTTATTGTTGGCGCCTCTATCGGCTTTGGCTTCGTTTATCTTTTCATTTGGCGAAAAGAAGAGCTCTTGTTGTTTTTGTTTTTGATATAGTCGGGCGTCTTCAAATGGCGTCATTCATCGTTTCGTTAATAAATTGTTAAATAGTTATCGTTTGTACTTAATCAATCGTAAATACAGTCCGCATATCGACCCCCTCAACAGTTATATAAAAAGAAATTTATCTTATTACCTAAAAATTAATTTGTTTAAAAAAAAAACAATTTTTTTTTTGTTTGAAAATGGGTAGGATTTTAAAAATTTTACCTATTGTACTTTTGCCATGAACTTTTATGCTTATAAATGATCAAATTTATAAATTCTGCTTTTAAGACGCCAAAATGAGCAATTTGTTGCAGTTATTTATGGCTGATGGTTATGTTGTGTCTATCTTTATCCAGTATTCTTAAGCCCTTTCCGGAATGGGGAGATTTCCGTATCATGATCTGTGTGCAGAATAATCGCCAAGTTTTGGAAACTACCGGGCAGTGGCCCGCGAAAAACTAAAAAAGACATCACAGAAAGGGACCAACTCGTAGCCACCCCCGGGCAAACATCTATACGTTTTTTTTTTTTTTTTTTTTTTTTTTTTTTTNTAAAATTTGCAAGTTTAAAATCTATTTGGCACCTTGGCGATTGTAGTTGGCGCGACAGATCACGACGCGGAAATATCCCCTCCGGAACAATGAATATTGATTGGAAATTTTAGTCAGACATCACTTTAGCAAGTAAGTCCTTAGTCCAAGGAGTAAAGCCCTGGATACTTAGATAAAGTATCTACATGCCATCTTGGTGACAGCAACTCTCTTGTGACCACAACTTTCAATGTAGAAATACTGAGTTTCTGTTCTTAAACGCGGCTTTTTATTGAATATTTTATTAAATAGTTTCATATTCTTGAAGATAACTATAAATATTTACTATTTTATCTTTTAATTCTTTTTTTCTTTCTTTCTGAAATCATATATTTTGTTTTTATTCCATTCAGGGAAAATAATGCCTTATCTATAAGTTAACTTTCTCATTTTGTCTTTCATAATATGCTATAATTTTTTTCTTTCCAAACTCTGGGAAATTTTTTGTAGTCTGTTTTCTATGAAGTTTAAAGGGTTAAATACAGTTAGATATAATTAAAATAATATCAGTGTTTTTTTTTAAATTTTTATACTTTAAAATTAAAGCATGTAATAAAGAAATCAATAAATAGAAAATGGGAGCTTTGTCACATTTAATAACAAAATAGATGAGTTCTGATTTTTTATAAATGTAATGAATTTTTTTAAATATTTAAGTTTTTGTCCGTTTGAAGTTGATACAGTTCTTTAAAGAAAGGTCATATATTTCAGACACTCAAAATGAACATAACACTAAATTTCAGATACTCAAAATGTGATTTATTTTTCTTTCTATGAATAGACTAGTTACTTTGCTACACTGGCTGTAACTTTCATTAAAATGGTTACCCTTCCCGAAATTGCTTCTCACAAATATCCTAATCATAACTTGTTTCATTGTTTATTGACATTATTTTCTTTTTTTTATTTTTTAAATTGTAGATTTTGAGCTTAACTTTACCAGCTTATTTCACTAATGTCTTAATTAAGCTCCTCAATTCAGAGCTGTAAGTTTGGCGGGGAAAAAGATAAAACTGATGTTAAAACCACATCTTTTTTATTTTGGAGGAGGAGGAGTAAAATATCTGTAACTATTAAGATTTGTAAGTAGTTATAAAACATAAATCTGCTTAAAAAATATTTCACACTTAAAATGCAGAAATATGATTTTTTACTCTGGTTTATTATAAACTCTGTACCACTATTCCCATTTACCCGGGAATAAAACAGTCTTACGTAAAAACTGTTAATAAATCTATGGATAATGAAGTATGATGAGCCATAAAATAAAACAGAATTCTTGTTTTGAATAGATTTTATTTAAAATATTAATACAGAAGCATGATATATATATATATATATTTTCATATATTTCTTTAAACATTTTAAGAAGAATAGAGCATCTAGAGAAATGCTATAAGATTTGAATATAATTAGCTCAAGAATGATATTATTTTAAATTTATTTCATTAAGAATTTGAATGACAATTTATTGGTAAGAAATCCAACAGAAAAACCGCTTAGTTTCGTCAAAGCGCAGTGAAGAAAATGCTGTATTTTTCATTTCAGAATCGAATGTTTTAGAGTAAAGTGTTAAAAACCTTTAATAACCAAAAGATTCTTTATTGGTTTCGAAATTTCATTTTGCTAACTTCAAGGATTGGACAAAATAATGTGAACAATGATGTACCTAATCTGTGGAAACAGCTTTTCTTTCAAGTGCAAATGTTTTGAAAAATTGTACGTAGCTTAAAACTATTAGCACATTTTTAAAGATTATGATTTTAAAAAGTGCTTAAAGGTGCTTATTTTTGACTTACGTTTTTAAAAGCCCTTAAAGGTGCTTTTTTTATTCAGGGTTTGTAAAAAGTGCTTCATTTTCTATCTTTTAAAATGAGATTTTTTCTTTGCCGTGTCGATTCTCGTTCTAAATTAGAAAAAAAATGCATGATTTTTCATAGTTTTCTCCGCAATATTTATCAGAAACTAGCTATT